TGGAGTGATGAAGAGAGTACTATCAAATCAACTAGCAACTCAAACAAGTCTAAGGTTCAAAATAGAATAATGATTTATTTTAGGAGTTCGAAATTCAGGGGACGAATCGATGATTATTTTGTCAAGGTGGAATTCAGTGAAAATAAAGTTACGCATGTAGGTAATTATTAATTTAGAATTTTCCCCTTATGTTGAGAGAAAAATTGAGGAAAATTAAGGTATGGTTGCATTCTGACTTGGTGTGTTAGCGAGTTTTTCTTCATTGGTATTTCCAAGCTCCATATCTACTGATACATCTGTTGCTTCTTTCTTAACTCCCCGTTTATTATCACGATAAACTGCATATAAAATTAGTTGCACTAATCCTAACAATGCTCCGATCATGTTTGGTACCTAAGAAAACAATATATAATGTCGTGAGATTAAGAAAACTTCTTAACGAAAATATCTAAAAAAATATTTTTAATTGAGTTAACTAGTATCAACTTTTTTTCCAACGCGAATTTAAAATATCAGTTTAATTTCCTATGTAATAATTCTCTTGCTATTTGATAGACATCAAGATTCAAGTAAATAATCATTTTTAGTATCTAGAAATCTGGTCCAAGACTAATTTATTGAGAATTTTATGGAATATTTCACAAATTAAAACCTACTTACATAAATAAAAGGGTCCACTCCAAGCAATCGGTAGACTAACCATGTGACACCGCAAGTGAAATATTGACAAGAATAATGGCATGTACTCCACGCTTTTAGTTTTGATCACCTGTCTCTATATAACAAGGGAGGAGAAACAGCGACAAAGGGTAAACTTTGAATTACCTATACAGTTCAGGGTTACTTTCTCTCTTTTAGGAAAGGAAAGAGATAAGATATGAAACTATTGAACAATTCTTTTTTACATATATGAGTATGACATTTAATTTAATTAGAACATCATGGAATATGTTTTGTGTAATTTTGATTGGGAGGAATTTGTTAGTGGTTTAGGTTGATCACCATTCACCACCGAGTTAAAGTCATGTCACTAAAAGCAAAAAGGTTGAAATGCCCATGGCTGAATATTATGATCATACAATTTAAATTTTCAAAATTTAAGTTAAAAGAATAAAAAGATAAAGTGTGTACTTTTCTAATGTTAAAATTGTACTATAACGTTAACGCAACAACTAGGCTTGATTAAAATTAAATGATTTAAAAGGGGACGCCATATATATATATATATATATATATATGATAATAATTATTGTGCTTTAATAGCAAGTTATAATGCGTAGCCATACTAGCATTAATTATCCCATATTAATCTAACAAAAGGAGTTCCTAATTTGCTAGACCGCCATGTATTTTGCTTCGACGCATATTAATTAAGAAATAACTTTTTCCTTTTGCATAAATAAGAAAATAAATTAAAGTACTTACCAATATAGTGAGAGGAGAACCATACATAGAGATACCCACAATTCCAGAAATGAAGCCACAAAAAAGCTTCCTTTTATGGTCATGGAGTGCAAATATGGAAACTAAAGCCACAGTTGAGAAGATGAGAAAGAAAAGAAATAGAATCCCAGAGATCTTAGCCTTCTCTTTCCAGCTTGGGGCAAATGGGAGGAAAATCAACACATAGATCGGTTGAATGCTTGTACCACTGGCAGCGATAATTGTAACCAGCATATTGTTTGGCGAAACAAATGGCAGACTATACCTATTTAATTCACCAAGATGCTGGATTCCCTCAATAACAAACTTAAATTAATAATAATAATAATAATAATAATAATAATAATAATAATAATAATAATAATAATAATAATAATAATAATAATAATAATAATAATAATAAAAGAAGAAGACGAACCTCTTGAATATTAGTTAAGGATCCAAGATATACACTGATTATGTAATGAATAATTTATACCATGCACAATTTAATTTAACTTGTACTACTAGTTATTAATTATAGGTTACCAATCAGTGATACGGGATAAAATTATATGCAATTACCTTTTAATTGACATAATTATGTGTATAATTTACGCAATAATGCATAGAACTCAAATTCATTAGTTTAGTTAATGATGAATTCATGAGTCAAAGGAATTAAAAATTCTCTATCTCCCTAAATTATGTATATCCTGTTATGTTTTGAAAGGTCAGGTTGACCATCTTGCAAGTGAAGTTGCACCATATATGCAACTATAAAAAAATTGGAATTAGTTACGAACTTCGTTGCTAAATCGCTCGTAGCTAACAAAATATTTTAATAATTAATCCGTCGCTAATTCGTTACTAAGTAGGATTAGCAACAGATCTTACGATTTAACTACAGAATTTATCTCTCTCTAATTGCTTAATGTATAAAGTGAATATTAAAGAAAACATGTAGAGAACATACCACATTGAGAACAAGCAATTGACCAGACTAATAACATATGGTATGCCCGAAAAATTTTCAGTTGATCTCTTTCTAATCACCCTCTGGAAGGTAATCCTATACCATCACAAGTTATTCAATAAATTATAACAAAGCACCAGAATCAGTAACGGGAAAAAACGCACAGAAACACACACAATAAAGGTGGAAATTCGAAAAGGCTTACCTAGGCGCCAGGAGGAGTAACAGAGTGTTTAAAATTCCTGCCCCAAGAATTAAGAAAGGAGAAAACCCTTATTATAGCTATAATAGATATTTAAAGGAAGAAAAATACAATGAAAGCCCCACCAAAAATCCCAAAGGCGGTGTGGAGAATATGAATTACTCCCATGGCAAAGAAGCTTTAATTTCCTCTCGAGCACAAAAGGTGGAAACAACTTGAAACCAGAAGCAAAAGGTGCAGCCAATCATGATCACATGTGATATATATAGAAAATAATTTCCTTTTGCTGGCTTGTTTTGCAGTAATGTTAGCGTCACAATACAAAAGTAGATGGTAGTGGAATCGGTATTTGAACTTTATAGATTCTAAATTCTAGAATAGAAATATTAGGTGCTAGTAACCGCGTTCTTAATTTGATTTTTTATATATTTAATAGATTTTTTAATCTAAATGTAAAGTTTAAACTAAAGCTACTATATTCGACCGAACCCATAACTTACCTTCTTGGTCCATCCCACCCTCACCTAATTAACATATTCTTGTACCCAACTCAAATGCAACAAGCATGCTAAACATTTTTCAGAAGTAATTTATTTAAGTTTATAGATTCATTTAGTAGTATTGAGACTATATTTTCTTTATCACCTTGACAACCCTTTAGTAATGTTGTCTATAGGCAAGAATTGGGGATTGGTTGATGACCTCCATCTTACCACCATCTTACCGAGTGAGAAATGGTTACTCTATTCCTTTATCTCCTCATGGTGCTGCCGTATTATTAATAAATAACAATGGCAAAAGAATAACATTAATTCTATTCACTTTCAGCCCAATGTTCCTTCATATATTTTTCCTTCTAGTTGTTTTGTTTTCATTTGGCCCTTTTATTATCATTCAAAACCAAAAAGTATTCCTTTTTCCCCCTTGCCCCGCCATGTTGGAAGCATCAAAACATGAAAGAGAAGAGAAGAGAAGACTTAAATTAGGGGATATATGTAAGACCCGTAACATTCTATATGTAACGTGAAAAGTTTTGAAGATGTATAATACCTAAACGTTATGCCTCCAAGGTTGTAAGGGTGTTTAATAGACGGGAGAGGTAGTTTAGAGTGAGTTGGAATTGTATAAAGGATAAAGATGGCTTTAGTAGCACTTTTTCTAACTTTAAATGATCAAAACGACCAATGTATAGTGAATTGAGTGTCGAGCCATATACCAAAATCCAAAAGAAAGCACTCTGAGTTTTGCATCTAGAACTTCAAAAACTTTTATCATTATGATACTACTGCAAGAAGATGTGACATTTTAACTCAAAGGCAGCAGAGCAGGAATCTGATTGCGGAAAAAAAAATACCTTGATGCAGAGTCCCAGGCGATGCACAAGCCAAAATTGTGCCAAAAGTTCAGAAAATCGAGTCTCTGAAGATCACGCCCTGGCGATGCCCAGGGTAACGCGGTAGGCCAAATTTTGGCCTGTGTGACTTTAAAATGCCAATTAAAAGGGTACTTCAAAGAGAAAAAATCCTAATTATTTCTACAACATTTTGAAAAAGGTGTTTGAGAATAAGAACGATCTAGGGCTTCTCCAATCCACCCAAGGTAAAATTTCTATCATAAATTCAAGTTAGAAACTCTACATAAGCATTGTTTAACACCTAGAAATTCTAAAATCTTATATTTTCAACAAGAATTCAAAGGACTATTCAAGGCTCAAGACATAGGGTTTCAAGGAGCAACTTCTAAAGTAATCGCTTTGCTCTCTACCATCAAGATTAGAAACTTTATAGCGTATTGAGTGATTGAAACGACAGAGTTTATGGGTAAAAACCTAGTTATGATGTTGGGTAGAAGTTAATAGTTGAGCTAATGGTTCTAACCCCTTGTATAGATCCTTGAAGGGTTGGATCACATGAATTAGTTGGTAGAGTTCTTAGCTAATGGTTCTAACCCGGACCCTTGTTATAGATTCTTGAAGGGTTGGATTACATGAATTCATTGGTAGATTTCTTGACAGTCGATTTAGATAAGTTGAGTTTATAATTTCCTAAGTCAAGGGCTTGACAAGAAAACGCTTAATAAGAAAATAATTTAATAAGAAAGTGCTTGAATGTTCTTAAGTATAAATGATCAAATTATTGTTTGAAATCCCTTGTTTCAGTTAAGTGTGAGTAATCTATCCTCAATTCATGGTATAGACTTTACTATTAGCTTTCCTTAATAAGACGATTTATAACTACATAAATCTCTATAACTTGTTTTAGACCATAATAAAAATCTTTCTTTCTTTCTTTCCTAAAACTCGGTGTCCAATCAGATAGCACCACAGACAAATTGAGTTATCAAAAGGTCAAATTGTTTGAGTTTTGTGCCAACTCAAATGGACTTACATAACAACGGATAAAAAGAGTACTATCAAATCAACTAGCAACTCAAATGGACTTACAAGACAAGAGAGGCTTGCTCAGTTGGTAAAAGCACCTCCACCTACGACCGATAGGTCCTGGGTTCGAGTCACCATGGAGGGGAAGTGTAGAAACACTATAGATCCTCCTAATTAAAGGGAAGAAAAAAAAAAACTAGCAACTCAAAAAACTCTAAGGTTCAAAATAGAATAACGATTTTCATACGAGTGTAGGTTACTACATTTGTCCTTAGGAATTCAAGGGACAACTGATAATTGTTTTGGCAAGTGGAGTTAAGTGAAAATTAAGTTACATATGTAGATAATTATTAATTTAGGATTTGTCCATTATGATGAGAGAAAAACTGCATTGGGATTTGTGTGTCAGCTATCTTTTCTTCATTGGGATTTTCAAGCTCCATCTTTACTGATTCATCTACTGCTTCTTTCTTCACTTCCCGTTTAATATCACGATAAACTGCATATAAAATTAGTTGCACTAATCCCAACAAAGCTCCGACCACGTTTGGTACCTAAGACAACAATATATAATGTCGTCAGATTAAGAAAACTTCTTAACATAACATATCTAATAAAAAAAAATGAATTGAGTTAAGTAGTATCAACTTTTTCTTTCAACGCGAATTTAAATTATCAATTTAATTTCCTAGGTAATAATTCTCTTGCTAATAACTCTCTGAAACAAGAAGCTTCTCTCAGCTAAGGCTGAAATGGCGAAGAAGCAACGAACTAGAGGGAGAGGGCAATTAGGAACGGTAAATCAGCAGAGAAATTTTGGCATGAGAGCAATTCCACAAACTGAAGATGCAAAGAAAACTAGAAGCATTAATGTGTTACAAGGAGTAATTCCGTTAGAACTGCAGCAGACACCTATGGCGGGGCCATCAAAGGAAACGCCAATGGCAACACCGATAGCTACGCAATCAATTACGCAAGCAACTAAGCAGCATGACAATAGCAATCAAGCACAGTCTAGCGGGAAGCAATCATGGGCGGACAAAGTGGAAAAAAAGGAGGAACTAATAGGTAAATCTCAAGCCCTAGCTTCAAATTTGACATCCTGGAGTAAAATAGTTGGAAATACACCAGTAACTTAGGGATTTGACCTAGAAGGAGTGAATTCTAATGCTAATGTCAAAATAACAATGGAAGATATAAAAGAGGAAATAGAATACTGGCAAACTGCGGTTGTATGCTTTGTGCTGGGGTCAAATCCTCCTTTAACAGTGGTGGAGGGGTATTTCAATCGTATATGGAAGGATTTGGGAATTGATAAGGTAGCTCAAATTAAAAAAGGAGTATTCATGGTCAGATTTCACAGTAATGAAGGGCGTACAAAGGCAATTGAAGGGGGAGTGCAGATATTTGATCGAAAACCAGGGATAATTAAGCCATGAAAACCAGGAATGGAGATAATGAATGTAACAGTGGAGCAGGTGCCTATATGGATTCGACTAGTGGGCCTAGATCTAAAGTACTGGGGGCAAGCAGCTCTAGCAAAAATAGCTGGGCTGGTGGGGAAACCCGTGAAGGCTGATACAACAACAACGAGAAAGAAGAAACTCATGTATGCAAGGGTGATGGTGGAGGTTCCTTTTAACAAAGCATATCCAGATTCAGTAATGTTTGAAAATGAATTGGGTCAAATAATCGAACAGAAAATATAGTATGAATGGAAGCCTACAATGTGTCAACAATGCAAATTGTTTAGGCACACAGACCAGCAATGCAGAAGAGTACAAAAACCACAAGCAAAACAAGTAAGAAAAGAGTGGAAGCCAGTGGAGAGGAATGAGCAAAAAGAAAAGCCAACCATAGCATGGGAAAGCATGGAACAAAAGCCGAAGAATGTACAAGGGAAAGCTTTACAGAAGCAGATTATCATGCCAGTGAGTAACTCTTTCTCAACACTGGAGGATCAGCGGGAAGAGCAAATTGCAGAGGAGAGTGCTAGAGAGAAAACAATAACAGACAGGAGAAATAAAGCTAAAGGAATTACACAAGGAGAAGGTACTCAACAAGGAAAAGGCAGTTCAACAGTAAGCTACCAGAGGGGAGTACAAAGGAAAATAGAGATGGGTCCAGGAACAGGGAGGGGAGGTACAAACCCCCTCCACAATGGATAAATTGGGATTTTAGAATGTGAGGGGTCTAAACAGGCAGTACAAGCAGAAAGAAATGAATCTGTTCTTACACAATACTAAGGTAGGCCTATTTGGATTCCTGGAGACAAAGATTAAGAGGCAGAAAACATCTTTAGCTTCTCTTAATCTTTGTAATGCATGGTCTTTTAGTCACAATCTAGCTCATCATCCAAGTGGAAGAATATGGGTGCTTTGGAAACCAAATATATTCTCTATAAATATCACTGATGTATCAGCACAAATGATGCATTGTGAGGTAGAACATAGAAGGACTCAACACAAGTTTCAGATAACATTTGTGTGTGGGTTTAATGACCAAGCTTTAAGAAGACAATTATGGCAAGAGTTGGAGAAAATTCATGGTGTCACTAAAAAAATCATGGGCAGTTATAGGAGATTTCAACTGTGTATTGAATATAGATAAAAGGGTGGGGAGTCCAATCACAGTTTCAAAAATAAAAGAATTCAAAGAGTGTGTAGGGAGATGGTCACTACAAGAACTTAAATCATCTGGATCTTTTTTCACATGGAACAATAAACATGGAGACAATAGTAGAGTCTACAGTAGGATTGATAGGGTGCTAGTTAATGGAGATTGGGTGATGAGATTGCCAGGATCAGAAGTTCACTTTGGAAATGAAGGACTCATGGACCATTGTCCAGCTCTGATTAACTGGGATCAAGGACCTCAAAGTGGACAGTACAGAATCAGATATTTCAACATATGGAGTCAAGCCACTGACTTCAAACAACAAGTGGAATATAGTTGGAATAAGGGGATTACAGGTACTAAGTAGTATAGATTGGTGGGGAAGCTGAATGGACTGAAAGCCACTCTGCAAGGAATAAGAAGAACTCAATTTGGTGATGTAGAAGGGAAAGATGTGCAGGCAAAAACAGAGCTAGAGGAGTGCCAAAAGAAACTACAGAAAGATCCTTTAAACATAAGGTTGATTGAAGAAGAGGCAAGGCTAGCTAAACAATATTCATACTGGAATCTGACGCGGAACCGGTACCTAAAGCAGAAGTGTAAAATGCATTGGCTGAACTCAGGGGATATGAACACAAAGTTTTTTCATAGCATGCTAAAAGCTAGAAGAAATGCTAACAGAATTTTCACTATAAAAGACACTGAAGGGAGAACAAGAAATGATATAGAGGGGATTACTGATGCTTTTGTGAAATATTACTCTACTCTACTTGGCACTAAAACTGAGAATAGAAGAAGGGTATGAAATGTTACTATTAAAAAAGGACCTGTAGTCTCAAAGGAACAAAGATGTATGTTGGTTGAGGAGTTTACAACAGATGAAATGAAACAAGCTTTATGGGAGATAGATGGAGATAAAGCACCTGGACCAGATGGCTATGGAAGCTAGTTTTTCAAGGATTGCTGGGAAATAGTTAAAGAGGATCTTGAAGCAGGAATAATGGAGTTTTTTAAAACAGGGAAATTATTGAGGGCATGGAATAGCACTGTGTTGACTCTAGTACCAAAATCAGATCATGCAGACACAGTAACAGACTACATACCTATAGTTTGCTGCAATACAATCTATAAGGTAATATCCAAGATGTTAGCAAACAGGTTGAAGAAAGTCCTGCCATATATCATATCCCTCAATCAAAGTGCCTTTGTGGCTGGAAGAACCATAGCTCAGAACATACTAATATGTCAAGACTTGGTAAGACTGTATAATAGGAAATAAATCACAAGTAGCTGCCTGATAAAAATAGACTTGAGGAATGCTTACGACACAGTAGAATGGGAGTTTGTAACTGAAATGTTGCATGCACTGGAATTCCCTCAGCAATTTATCAAATGGACTATGACATGCATCACTACAATGCAGTATGCAATTGCAATCAATGGAGGTTTGTATGGGAACATAAAAGGGGAAAGAGGACTTAGACAAGGGGACCCCATATCCCCACTGATCTTTGCCATTTTCATGGAATATTTCACAAGGATAATGAACATAGTTACAGAGCAGGTGGGATTTGAATATCACACTAAATGCAAACACTTGAAGTTGAATCATTTATGCTTTGCAGATGATGTGCTACTATTCAGTAAAGGAACCTTTCAATCAGTGCTACTACTATTGAGGGGCTTGAAAACATTCTCAGAAACTTCAAGCCTAACTACAAATGCAAACAAGTCAAACATCTTCAGTGTCAATATGCAAAACCAGCACCAGAAGGATTTGATAGACATGACAGGATATCAGAAAGGAAATCTGCCATTCAGGTACCTTGGTGTGCCTATATCAGCTAAGAGACTATCTAAAATGGATTGTGAAATACTTATAGATAAGATAGCAACTAGAATCAAAGGGTGGAGTACAAGACATTTGTCTTATGCAGGAAGGGTGCAACTAGTGAATTCAGTACTACTTCACATTCACAGCTACTGGTCAACCATATTTTTACTCCCAAAGCAGGTGCTGAAAGGGATAACTGCTATGTGTAGAAATTTCATCTGGGATGGGAAACCTGTCACACATAAACCACCCCTAGTGGCATGAGATCTAGTGTGCAAGGCAAAACATGAAGGAGGTTTGAGGATAACAGATATAATAAAATAGAATGAAGCTGCTGTTGCAAAATATGTATGGAATATTACCCAAAAAGCTGATAACCTATGGGTGAAATGGATCAACACTATCTACTTAAAGGAGAAGGATTAGGGCAGTACAAATGCCCCACTGATGTTAGCTGGTATTGGAAGAAAATATGTAGAATCAAGGAAATATTTGCTCCAGGCTATAATCAGAACTTATGGAGCAATGCCAATGGAAAGTACACAATAAAGGGAAGATACACATAGAGAATGGGGGAAAAGGAGAGTTGGACATGGAGAAGATGGGTATGGAATAACATGAACCTACCCAAGCACAGCTTTATTTGTTGGATCACTATGCATCAAAGGCTGCTGACAAAGTCCAGATTGTACAACATGAGCATTAGTCAAGAAGATAGATGCCCAATATGTGGAACAGAAGAGGAAACCACCAAACATTTATTCTTTGAATGTGTATATTCACAGTAAGGCTTAAGGGAGGTGTTACAGTGGATGAACATAGGCATACAAAATACAGAGATAACAGGGATCTGGAGAAGAGTAACCAGACTACTTAAAGGGAGAAGATGCAGGGAAGTTGCCACTGCTATATTGGCTGCCTTGGTGTACTGGATATGGAAAGCAAGAAATACTGTTGTATGGGATTTCAAACTACCTACAACTGCATACATTGTAAGACAGATAAAGTAAGAATGCAGAATGAGGAAGATCGCCTATTTGAAGAGCAAGACAAGTATTCAAGAAAGAGAATGGATTGAGAAGATCACGCAGAAATAGAAGAACAGATAGATAGGAAGAAATGTTTTGAATACATAGCTTAATATATATGTATATAGAAAAAATAGGAGGAAAAGGAAAGATATCAAGATTCAAGTAAATAACCATTTTAGAATCTAGAAATCTGGTCCAAGACTAATTTATTGAGAATTTTATGGAATGTTTCACAAATTAAACCTACTTACATAAATAAAAGGGTCCGCTCCAAGCAATCCGTAGACTAACCATGTGATACTGCACGTGAAAGCAAATATTGACAAGAATAATGGCATGTACTCCACGCTTTTAGTCTTGATCACCAACCTCTAACAATGGAGGAAAAATATAAAAACAGAAACCACATCAAACGGTAAAATTTGAATTAGACATATAGTTCAGTCTTAGTTTCTCTCCTTTAATTAGGAGAGAGAGGATGTAAGATACGAAATTATTTAACAAAAAGGTTTTCACAATATGAATACGATACTTAATTTAATTAGGACATCATGGAATATGTTTTTTGTAAAGGTGGTTTTTAATTGGGAGGAATTTGCTAGTGGTTTAGCCATTTAGGTTGGTCACCACCGAGTTAAAGTCATGTTAATAAAAGCTAAAAGGTCTGTCTCCGCAGCTGTATAGGCAAACAGTCATGGAGAGTAAAATCAGAGGCAGAGCCAGGATTTAAAGCTTATGTGATCGGAATTATAATCAGTTTAAGTTATTGGGTTCTAAATTAATAATTTATACATATCCAATTGATTTTGAAGACAAAAACAAGATTCGAATCAAAACTATTGGATTCGGCCGAACCAACGCCCGTCACTCTAGCTCTCCCCTGACTAAGACCGCTCTGTATTTTGCTACGACACATTAATTAGCAAAACCATTATCTTTTGCAAAAAAAAAAAAAACAAATTGAAGAACATACCATTATAGTGAGAGGAGAACCATACATAGAGATACCCACAATTGCAGAAACTAAGCCGCAAAAAAGCATCCTTTTATAGCCGTGGAGTGCAAATATGGAAACTAAGGCCACAGTTGAGAAGATAAGAAAAAGAAGAAATAGAATCCCAGAGATCTTAGCCTTCTCTTTCCAGCTTGGGGCAAATATGAGGAAAATCAACACGTAGGTTGCCTGAATGCTTGTACCACTGGCACCGATAATTGTAACCAGCATATTGTTTGGCGAAACAAATGGCAGACTATACCTATTAGGGTTACCAATTAATGCTATTAGATAGAATTACTTGCAATTACTTTTTAAATGACTTAATTATTTAATTATCTTTAACACAGAGAAGAGAATTTAAGCTCATTAGTTTAATTAATGAATTAAAGAAACTAATACTTTCGATCTCCCTAAAATATGTGTATTATATCCTGTTCCGTTTTGAAAGGTCAGGTTAACCATTTTTCAAGTGAAGTTGAACAATGTATAAAATGAATGTTAAAGAACATACCACATTGAGAACAAGCAGTTGAACAGACTAATAACATATGGTATGCCTGAAATTTTTTCTGTTGATCTCTTTCTAATTACCCTCTGAAAGGTAATCCTATACCATCATCAAAAATTAGTAAATAAATTATCACAAAGCACCAAAATCAGTAACGGGAAAAAGAGCGAGAGAGAAAGAAAAAAAACCACAAACACACACAGTAAAAGTGGAAATTCAAGAAGGCTTACATAGGCGCCAAGAGGAGTAACAAACTATTTAAAATTCCTGCCCCAAGAAGAAAGGATGTATAAATTAAAAACCTAATGATAGCTATCATGGACAACATTCAAGAAATTAAACAAAGAAAAATACAAGAAAATGAAAGTCCTACCTAAAATGCCAAAAGGCGGTGTGGAGAGCATGGATTACTTCCATGGCAGAGAAGCTTAATTTCCTCTCGAGCACAAAAGGTGGAAACAACCTAAAACAAAAAGCAAAAGGTGCAGCCAATCTTGATTACATGTGATATATATATAGAAAATAACTTTCTTTTGCTGGCTTCTTTTGCAGCAGTGTTAGCGTCACAATACAAAAGTAGATGGCCGTGACCACACGTGGAATCAACATTTAAACTTTATGGGTTATAAATTTAATTTTTGTAAATATTTAATATATTTTTTAATAGAAATACAAAGTTTAGACTAAAATTACTATGCTCGATTGAACCCGTAACTTATTTTCTAGCTCCACCCACCCCTCACCTGGTGAACATATTCTTCTTTAAGCGAACCATAACTATTTTGATACCCGACTCAAATGCGACAAGCATGCTAAATATTTTTCAGAAATAGTTTATTTAAGTGTATAGATTCATTTAGTAGTATTGCGTCTTGAATTATTCTTTAGCTCCTTTTAAACTCTTTAGTAATGTTATTAGGCAAGAATTGGGGATTAATTGATGATCTCTGTATTATTAAATAACAATGGAAAAAGAATAACATTAACTCTATTCATCTTTCAGCTCAATGTTCCCTCCTTTTTCCTTCTGTTTTTTTTCTTTTCTTTTCTTTTCATTTTTGCCCTTTCATCATCATTCAAAACCAGAATACTTATTCCACTCCCCACCTTGCCCCGCCATGTTGGAAACATTAAGATTTAAAAGAGAAAAGAAATCTTGAAGGGTATATATAGATTGAGTGGAAATTATAAACGAGAGGATATATAGAAGTGGCAGTGGAAAAGAGAGGACATATATATATGGCATCTCTTTTGCTTTTTCAGCATAATATACTAACTGTTCTTACTTGAAATGGATACGTTTTATTAGGCATCTTAACGTGACCGCTTTACTCATCATTAAGAAAAAGATTATAAAAAAAAAAGGTTTAGATACTTCTGCTTTTGAATGAAATTTAAGCGGATCTTTTGACAAATTTTAGTGGAAGAAAAGCTGAAAATATACTCTTGCTTTGTTTAACTCAAGATTAAGTATCGTCTTTTGGAGGAAAAAAAAGGAAAGTTACATGATCAATAGAAAATGTTGAAGGGGAAAAAACAACATAGAGTAAACAAAAGGAAAAAAAAAAGGTCAATTTAAGTTTCGTGGGATAATACGTTGTTTTACTGCTAGGTTCACCCGACCTCTAGTAACTTGGCTTTTTATTTCAGTATGGTACATGTATTGGAGTTCCTAATTAGTTAAAATTAAAAAATGCATGACATTGGAAGGCCTATATTAACTTCTTATTTACACCTTGTTTGGATGGTTGTTACGCATCGTTTCATAATGTATCGTATCGTACTGTATTGTATCGTTTGATAAATACAATGTTTGGATAGATTGTGTCGTTTGTCATCGTTTCATGATATCATGCACCAGCAATATAAAGAATAAACTTGCAATATTATTAAAAAAAATTATGATATATGGTAAAACTACTATATAAAAAGGTAAGGTAAATGATAAAATAAAATAATTTAATAATAATAAGGGTGAGATTGAGAGAAAAAGACAAGGTAACGACGCGACCACACCAAATCGATCATTACATAAAGTGACACATTTCGTCGTTACATAACGACGGATTTAACGATACGATATAATAAAATTTAAATAACAATCAAAACAGACATTGTATTTAAAGTAATAATACGATACGATACAGTGGCTAACAATCATCCAAACAAGCTGTTAACAAACTTGTAATACCCAATGACTTATCCTTATTCCACATTCTCTCATTTTCAATTCCAAAAATACTCTGCCATAACCTCTCTCTTTGATTCCCACTATATGGCACCATTGAGCAATAAATCTCAGCATATAATGGTGCAACTTTTCAGGAGATTAAACTAATATTGGAGTTAGTTTTTTATTTTTCCTCTTTGAAATCTCAGAGTTTGCTGACTTGAAAGGTGACTTCTAAGCTTAATATCTACTATTAGTATTATGGAAGCATCCAGGTTTTTTTGGTTTCAAAATATATGAAGCATTCAGATCGGTAGTGAAGTACTAAAAGTTAATTTCAAGTTGATGTATTTAGATCAGAACCATCGAAGTGTCTCCATTGATGAACCCAGCTGAGCTTGTGAGAGAAGGTTCTAGATGATAGAGGNTTGGAATAACTGGCATTTCTTATTCATCCATCCAAATAGAGTACATTGGTTTGAGGGTGGAGTGTATAATCCACAAACACCCTTATCTGACATGAAGATAGAACTTGCAATGTTGTGAGAGCTGAGTAGAAGAAAACTCATGGGTATTGGATACTTTAGTTTGTACGAGTTATCAAACAAAGTTTCCAACCCTAACAAAAACATACCAATAAAAATAAAAATAACATTCTATTCATGAATCTAAAACTCATGGTGGCTCAAAGGTAATATATGTTCTTCTTTTATCAACAATTCGAAAAGCAGATAAGCTCCACTTGTCCATGTTCATTATGCCCCTGACCTACCTTGGTAGTTCATCAAAATTATGGAACAGTTGATTTTGTAAAGACTCATGGCTTAAAGAAGCTAATTTATCCGCAACTTGGTTGTTTTCTCTGAAGCAGTGATTCAAATTAAAAACTCTTTGTTCCCTTATACTTCTAAGCTCACTAATATCATCTGAAATCCTCCACGGGACACAATTGTTCCATTAAGGCAATCCACCAATAGTTTTGAATCAGTCTCTACCAAGATACAATGTAAACCATTGTTAATACACCATTTAATGCCAAACAACACTGACTGTGCTTTTGCCCAATTGGTAGTTCCAGGGCTTAAATAATAGTGAACGCAACAATCAAGCATCCCAAATTGTCCCTTATAACTCCTCCTCCTCCACATAAACCATTCTTACAGCTTCCATCTGAGTTTAATTTCACAAAAAATGCTGGAGGTTTGTTCCACTTGGTAATGATGGTCTTCTTGAATCCAATATTAATGTTGAATAGATGGCATATACTGCTCCAAATAGGTTTGGTATTGAATTTTGGGAACTGGCTGTTAATTATCTGTAAAATGGAGAAACAAATAAGGGACGTGGTCCTCCTCACATTGAGTCTTTCAGAGCCATATTTAACTCCACATCTAGCTTTCCAAATTTTCCATGCTGTGACGATTGGTAAACAGTTTATCAAGTATGCTTCAACGGGATTCTTTGTCTTTGTTTTCCACCAATTGACTAGTAACATTCGAAAAGACACCCTTGTAAAGGGAATTCCCTTAGCACCACACATAATCCTCGATATATTCTGTGCAAAGGATCCCGAACAAAAAGACGATCTATAGTTTTATTTACAGGATTTATGCAACAACAACACCGAGAAGTGCTAGAGAGTCCCATCCTAAGAACCCTAGCGTCAGTCGGCAATCTATCTCTCAATGCTCTCCAGACAGTAAAACACATCTTGAAGGGCACCTGTTTTTGCCATGTCTTGGAATCAATCCAAGATTGTCTTTTTACTTTCCTGAATATATTCCAAGTTGAGGCTACGGAGAATACTCCTTTCTCATTGACAGTCCACACAAGAGTATCTTGAACCGATGGCCTCAACCTAATCTGCATAGCTTCAATTGTACTCATAACATGGTCAGGTAATAGACAATCCCAACCACCCCACCACGACTGATCATTAACTATAACATCAGAGAGCATAATGTTCCTCGGATTTCTACCTTCTGGAAGAAAATTACACAATGGACCTAAGTTGGTCCAATTATCAAACCAAAATGCAATGTCTCCTTTGCCAATCTTCCATAATATGTGCATATCTACTTCCCTCTTAATCTTGCACATAGCATTCAAGGAATGTGAGTTCCCAGAATACCATTGCTTAATTAAAGGGTGTGACCTCTGACAATATTTGACCATTAGGAAATTCTTCCACAGAGAGTCACTAGTCCTTAAATTCCACCATTGCTTTACTGTGAATGCGTTACACCTGCAACTTCCTAAAATTATCTCCTCCTTCAGCGTATGGCATGCAAAGCTTGTCCCATGAAGCCCAATGAAATCTTTTCTTCTCTTCTGAATTTCCCCAGAAGAACCTGGCCAACATTCTTTCTATTTGGTTCAAGACTCCTTTAGGAGGGTGAATGGCTGCTAGAAGATGGACTGGAAGGGCTAACAAAACATGTCTAATTAGAATAGCTCTGCCACTAGTGGATAAAAATTTGGCATGCCAACCTGAAATTTTCGCAACACTTTAGTGACCAACTTAGAGAAGATGTCTATTTTTTTCCTACCAACATACAAGGGGCAACCAAGATATTTTATAGGAAACTCCTTATGCTCCATTCCAGTAATCTCCTTAATTCTCTTAACTGAATCTAAAGATGAATTGGTGCCAAAACAACACAAGATTCTTGCTTATTCACCAATTGTCCTGAAACTTTTTCATATGTTGCCAGGGCTTCCATTAGTAACTCCAATGATTTCCTGCATCCATTGGAAAAAAGAATAATATCATCAGCAAAAGTTAAGTGATTAATTTGAGGTCCCCTCTTATTCATACTGAATCCAATGAACTCATTATGAATAGCGACCTTTTGTAATTTTCTTGAAAGAAATTCAGCACAAATTATAAAAAGGGAGGGGGAAATGGGATCTCCTTGCCTAAGTCCTCTCTTGGACTAAAAGAAGCCTTGTCTATTACCATTAACAAGTAAGGAATACCAATTACTAGAGACATGTATGAATATGATATCTATCCATACTTCATTAAACCCCATTCTTCTCATCAGATTGCATAAGTATGGCCATGAAACTCTATCATAGTCTTTGGCCATATCAAGTTTGAGCACCACATTACCGTATCGATTAGGCTTGTCAATATCTCAGATGATTTCTTGGGCAAGGAGTATGTTCTCAGTTGAAGATCTCCCTTTAACAAAGCCACTTTGGTTCCCACTAATGATGTTAGGCAGTATTTTAGATAGTCTGCCATTAAGAAGTTTAGCAAAAATCTTGCTAACAATATTGCATAGACTAATGGGTCTAATGTCACTAAAGTGCTGAGGT